CTTTGCGATCAGAGGCCCTCCGAATAAAGCTGAGCGGCGACGCCGCGTGGGGACCGGGCCGGTAAAACTGGCTCTTCAAATTGGCGGATTTTCGGGTGGATCTTGCCATTTTATGGGAAGTTTACTAGGGCTATTCGTATCACTTACAACCAATAAAACATTGGTACAGTTTCATATGTACTGGTTTAGTATTTTGTGTTCTTTTCCAACGTCCACATTCCACTTCAGAGCCATTGAACCGACCTTCTTGCCGCGCGCCTGTGTCATCTCTGAAAAGAGTGCAGACTTCAAATCATTTGAGAAAACAAATTGCTGTGTTGAGCATATACATCCTTTTTCTAGGGAAACTGTGTATGGACACTTTAGTACTTTAATCATACTGTACAGTAACCGTTTGACCTTAACTAGCCGGAACCCGGCGCATAGACGGCCGTGGCTCAAAATGAAGATTGAGCATCATCCAACATTGATTTTCTGTGCGTTTGTAAGGGGATTTCTCAAGTTTCAGGTGTATACACTTTTTGTGGCTGAATTCCATTGGAAAGTTAGCTATATGGCGTTTTCGCCTCAGCGAAACGATAATTTTAATGCTTTTTTGAAATGACGTAACTACTTTGTCTATGCCAGGATTTGCTTCTTTTTTTCCTCATCTGACAGCATCAATCCTGCGGCAGGAGGTCTTCCAAGTGTTCCAAAAATTCGCAGCAGCGTAGCATCCACGTATGTAGGCAAGGTACATGAACGTTAATATCCCCCCCGACCCCACCCATGCCCAGTGACGTAGCAGCAGCATAGCATCCACGTATGTAGGCAAGGTACATGAACGTTAATATCCCCCCGACCCCACACATGCCCAGTGACGTAGCAACAGCGTAGCATCCACGTATGTAGGCAAGGTACATGAACGTTAATATCCCCCCCACCCCCCCCATGCCCAGTGACGTAGCAGCAGCGTAGCATCCACGTATGTAGGCAAGGTACATGAACGTTAATATCCCCCCCACCCCACCCATGCCCAGTGACGTAGCAGCAGCGTAGCATCCACGTATGTAGGCAAGGTACATGAACGTTAATATCCCCCCCACCCCACCCATGCCCAGTGACGTAGCAGCAGCGTAGCATCCACGTATGTAGGCAAGGTACATGAACGTTAATATCCCCCCCAACCCCACCCATGCCCAGTGACGTAGCAGCAGCATAGCATCCACGTATGTAGGCAAGGCACATGAACGTTAATATCCCCCCCCACCCCACCCATGCACAGTGACGTAGCAGCAGCGTAGCATCCCGAGAGAATTCTTGGAACACTTGGAGGACCTGCTGCGGCAGGATTGATGCTATCAGATGAAGAAAAAAAGACAAGTCCTTGCATCGACAAAGTAGTTACGTCATTTCCAAAAACAATGAAAATCATCGTTTCCCTGAGGCGAAAACACCATTTTCCTAACTTCCCAATGGAATTCAGCCACAGAATGTGTAAACAACTGCAACTTGAGAATTCCTCACAAAACGCATTAAAAATCAATGGTGGATGATACTCAATCCTCATTTTGAGCCACGGCCGTCTATGCGCCGGGTTCCAAGTAGTTTGGGGGGTAGACACAAGCCCCGCCGTCTGAATCTTAGCGTTTTGGTCGCCAGCGATTTTGTTTTGGGGATTTCTGCGGAAACCTTGCATGGCTATTGAAGAGTTGGGATGGGTCCTTTGAAACTATAGATGCCATGATCATGAACTCATCAGTAGGGGGAACTCATCCCAAAGTTACCAAACAGTTCAGGTTGATGAAGTACAATATTGCTAATAGTTCAATCAGAAATAACTCGTAGGGGGAATGATTGGACCGGAAAGGTAGCCATCATCTATGAGCCACTTGTTATTTCACTGGTAGCCATGACTTTCATCTTCCATGAAGCGAAGTTGATCTGTCAGTGCTTCACCTTCACGGTTGAGAAGTGCATTGGATGTCACCAGTCCGTTTCCCCTTCATGTTTTTTCACCATCAATGTCTCAATCAGAAGTTTTGCAAGGCATGTTCTTCCAAGCTTTGACACTCCAAAGTCCCAACTCTGAAGCGTTAGTAGATCATGAATCATGATTGTCATCATTGTCATCCCAATATATCTTCATTGCAATGTGTCCCATCGTCTTAATCGGAACCTTTTTAATGGAATATACTGGGCCAACAAAGTGTATCACTAGATATTAGTGGGGAGATATTGGGATATAATGTCATATTTAATATTGTTATAATGATTATAATGAACTAATATTACATAAAGATCATATAATGATTCTTGTCATCCCATTATATAATCATCTATAATCATCCTAGTCCTAATGTTTCCGCTGGCCTTTTTTCAGAACGACGAGCGCTCGACCCACACAAAAGGCTGTGTCACAGTCAGACGTGCCACCCGAGGAGCACCGCCGATCCGATCTGCCCCAAGGGGCTGGGGTGCAGGGGGCTGCAGCTATGGCCCAGCTAAGAATTATTGAATATTTCCAAGTTATTTCTATAATTTTCTATAAATATAGTTTTAAGGTGAACTATACATTTCCAGCTAACAACTATTTTCATGGACTTATTTCATGATATATAGTTCACCTTATAAATAATCTTAGTTATAGGAGTTATTTTGTTCCATTTATATAGAATTGTCTGTTAGTTGGGCCATCACCCCAAAAAACAACGTTTCGGGGACTTAGGCAACTGGGGCATCTGGGAGCTGCTGATTCCTATATTTTAATATATATATATATATATTAGTTGTGTAAATCACCGAAAAAGATGGAAAAAGGAAGACTAATGAACCTTTTTGCCATTCCTATATTAGAATAGTAAAATAGTATAAAATAGTATAAAATAGTATAAAATAGTATAAGATAGTAAAGATTCTACTTTCTAACCTTTACTACCATTTTGGGGGTTATGTAGCCACTCTTACCCGTTTCAGGTGCCACTGCAGTATGGCCAGCGCGACCGCGCCGCAGCGAACGATGGAACCGATCACCGACTGATCACCTTGAGATATCCTCTGGTAAACGTTTACATAGCGAACTGGAAAGATCCACCATTTTTAATAGGTAAATACACCATCAATGGGCCATTTTCGGTAGCTATGTTAAATTACCAGAGGGTATCTTCAGATGATGCAAGTTCTGCATCGCAGACGTCCTTTGGACGGAGAACTCGCCATCAGACGACAAGCTCAAATTGGGATGGTTTCTTTTTTTCATCAGAAACGATTCGGGGATCGGATTCTTATCCCAACACTTCCCAACATTTGGGTGTGTCTGAAAATAGTGTACCCCTAAACCCAATGGTTAATGATCATTATCCCTATTAAATGGCTATAATTGGGAATATACCCTATTTTCAGACAAACCCATTTCCCAATTATAGTTTCTCTTTATATATGCTGAAAATCATCCCCCATGATATCCCCAATGAATCCATAAAACATCTCCCATGAATGCCCCGTTAATCCCATGAAATCAATGATAAAACCAGATCCTGGAGTGAAAAGATGAGCCTTCCCTCACGAATGCCGGACGCCTTAGAAGCTGTCAGAACTTCTCCAACCGAACGAGATACACATCTACCCATTTTTGTCGGAATTAAGATAAGTCACATATAAGTTTATTGTCTTCATACTATGTCCCAACTATACCCCAAACTTTACCTCAAGTATATCCCAGCTATATCCCAAGTACTGCTGCTTTATAACTTATCACTATGCTTTTGGTAGATATATCGATCTTACTACAGTAATATATTACTCGGGTTAGATAACAACAAACATACCGTTTGGGGGCCCCACATTGAAGTTCAAAATCATCATGTTTGTCACTCATCTATATATCCGTGGTGATTTGTCCATGGCAAACTGTTAGTTACCACAGTAATTACAATGTCAACCCTGGACTAATAAACCCCTAGGTTGTTTAATTGGGAGGCTACCATGTAAGTATTAGATTATGACTATTGGAGGAATACCCCCTATAATTAATAAACCATGGTTTAAACCACAATTTTTTCCCCGTTGACATTTCCCGTTTAAAATGGTAGGCCTTGGGCCCCCTATAAATCAGATTTTATGTTTTTTTTTTGCCGTCGGGGCGCTCCATTTTGTAGAAAGAGACCTGTTTATACACATCCAACATCACTTTATATGAGAACAAGATCATATGCCAGTGTCAGGCACCTCCATTTTGTAGAAGATTTGGAATACCATTTTGTAGATGGGTAAGGGGAGTTGATAAATACATCCACAAATGTAAATATATTTGAACACAAAAAATATCAACCGACCATGTGGATTTGTGGTGGAGATGATCGCAAAGTTTTCAAAGCCTCCAATTTTGAAACCAGCCCCGGTCCAGAAAAAAAAAGTGATGACCACTACTTCGGTCCAGTCTATCTGACTACTTCTGTTGGACGATACTTTATGAAACCCGATTGCCAGATGCACAAGATGCAAAAAATTGAGATATGCAAGGATTGCTTGAGAGATTTTAAGAAGAAATTTCATTCAGAGTAAACTGTCTACAAATTGGTCGCCCAAAAAAGACTAGGGTGCGACCACAGGGTTGCTTTGTGTCTTACAAAATGGTTCTCCCATTTTTCACAGTTTTTTGGACACTATGTTAACCCAAAATACTTGATGTTGGTGGGCAGGTGGGATACCCTGGGGCCACCATTTTGTAGGCAGCAACCCCCATCCATGCTACAAATTTTGTAGGTGTCCCCATACCATTTTGTAGGGGGGTAGGCTGGGCACCCTACACTTTGGTAGGCCCAACCTCTCGGGGCGAATTTCAACGGGGATCAATTTTTAATGGAAAATCACAATTTTTTTATGGGTAAATCCACTATAAATGGCCATTTTCAATAGCTTTTTGTATGTTTACCAGAGGGTACCACAGGTATATCCCAAGTGTATCCCCCGTTGGTGGCGCCGCTCCAGGACGTGGTCCACGCAGCCGATGAGTTTTGGAGATGACAACGTCCCTAGGGAGGGATGTGAGATGTGACGGACTTCGCGTTGACTAAGCAACGGGGAATCTGGGATATATCACCCATAGGATCCATGTATGGTATATATGCTAACATTAGGGGTATATTGATGGTAAATGTTACCATATATAGCATACATGGATCCTATGGGTGATATATTAATTAATAGAATTCTATAGATATGTGATGATATGTGTAGCATTTTGTAGCATTGAAAGCAAACTTCATGATCTTTCAATGGCTTCATCAACATTTATTTTACCCTCTGGCTATTTAACATCGCTGCGGAAGCCAATTTCGCGCATACTTTGCGTTCGTAAAAAAACTGGTGATTTTCCATATCCGATTTTTTCCATGGCCATTGAAATAGTTGATTTACCCATTGAAAATGGTGATTTTCCATAGTTATGTAAACATTTACCAGAGGGTAAACCATCTTTTATTTTTTCTTTGGGTGTTGGATTGTCGTGGCATATTAAGACCGTTCCCTTAAACAATTCGATCGCCGTCGATGATATGTACTCAGTTGGATGGAGCGTTACTAACGAAGTGTGGGGAATCAGCACACCATGGCACTGTTTGAAACTTCGCCACGGACAAGACTAAAAAACTGACTACAGGATGGTGCCCCCAGTTATAAGTTGGTTTATAAACCCCATTAACTAGTTCGTTATATCTGCCATAAACCATAGTTATGGGAGTTATAAACCAACTTAGCTAACTATGGGGCACCACCTTGTATGAATCAGGGGGTTCCCCCCAATGTTTTTTTGTTAATTATCTATTAGAACTGGTACACCGGGGTTATTTATAGGGGGTTCACATCACTATGACATTGCTCTTGATGTCCCGAAATTCCATGCGATGTTCCGGTTCTGAACGAGTGCTGACCCAAACTCAACCCCCCAGGGTTTGAAAAGCCGACGAACATGCCCCAACTAAACCCTCCGGTTTCTAGAAAAAAATGTTCAAAAAACACTTATATAGATCATCTTAGATCAGCCATTTTTTGGATCTACCATAATGATCTACCATAATGATCATCTTGGATCCATAATGTTCAAAACACGGGCTTCGTACAACGGATCAACCATTTTTTGGTGCACCAATGGATCAACCAATGGATCCGGAAAGGTCATAGGGACAGGGGGTGAGACATGCCAATTTTACTAGGGGAACTTGGGATAAACCATGAACTTATATCATTGGTGCTCATGATGTCCACTTTTTTCATCATTGTACTCGTAGCTGAAACCTCACTCCTGGCTGCACAAACCTCCCTTTGGAGCCAGATGGTGCCATAGCTGGCGGGTTTGGTTGCGGTTGGCCTCTTGATCCAAATGCCAACACCCATATTTTTTTGTGCTTTATCCCCACGGATTCTGGCCAGATCTCGAACATGTTCTTTCCCAACCTCAGTTTACGGAAAAATCATTAAAAATCCACAGGAAGCCCCCGAAATTCAGGCCATTCGGACTATGGTTCCTGTCCAATTTTTTCCCTAAATCAATGCGATTGCTGGATGCCCTGGTAGAGATGGTCGGACCTCTTAGGTTTTTGAGTTTCAATGAGAACTTCAACTCCAAGCTGACCTTTACTGCAGAGGACGTGGCTGTTGTGATACTCAAATTGACCTGCAAAGTGCCTCCCCCCAAAGAGACTATAATAAGTGGGTTTAGCCACATCAAACTACAGATGTATCATGATGTATCCATGATCAACACCAATTGCCCTCCAGTAAATTCATATAGGCTGTGCCTCCTTCTTCTTCTTCTTCTTCTTTCTTCAGTTGGGGCTTGGATGATTGGTTTCCACGAAAAACTGGTCATTTGCAGGATCAAACGCTTAATTTAGCAGCTTGCCGACAGGATTCAGCTGAAACGGAGGAGATGCTGCGAAAGGTGGCTTTCGTCATGGGCATGGAAAATGGGCGACTTTTCGAACGATAGCAAAGGTGATGGAAAATGGTGATTTATCAAAAAAAACACGGGGTTTGGAGATGATTTATGAGAGCTAAAAAATTGTTTTTACTGAGCTTTTCCTGTGGATTTATGACAATTGGTAACTATACTTGATGGATCTTGGAGGATAAATCAACAAAACTATGGGGCTCCACCTTGTGGTGATTCATTCTTCAATGTATTGGAGATGTTAAGCCATCATTTCATTGGAATCGAATGGGAAGATGCGGATGTGGTTGATGAAACCAAGCTATGATTTATGGTGATTCCAGAAAGATCTTGGGTCCATGGGTAAAACATGGTAACAATATGTAATAATAGTGGATGGTTAGTGTCTGACATGAATAGAAGCTAATATACAGATTGTTGACCATGGACCCAGATATTTTGAATGGCTTGCAAGCACCAAGCAGCCACTAATCCTCAGGCTCTGTTTAGGCTTGGTCAGCGGCAGATTCAAAGGCCATGATGTGCACCACATCTCCCATAGGATCCATGTATGCTATATATGGTAACATTTATCCCATCAATATACCCCCTTTATGTTAGCATATATACCCGCACCATGGATCCGTCATGGGTCTGGCAAAATCATGGTCAGAAAATGATGTTTCCAACGGGCGTCAATTGAAGAAAATTTCTCATTTAAAATTAGATCTTAGGTGTCCCACACTGGTTGGTGGTTTGGAACATAACCATGGAACGATCCACCCATTTTTAATGGGAAAATCCACCACAAATGGCCACGGTATAATCATAATATATCTGATTGGTGGTTTGGAACATGATTTTTATTTTCCATAATCTATGGGTTGTCATCCTTCCCATTGACTCATTGACGAACTCCATCATTTTTCAGAGGGGTAGGTGTCTCAACCACCAACCAGATTATTATTGTCATTAACCATATAATAACCATATAATAACAATATAATAACCATATTATAACCATATAATAACCATATAATAACCATATGATAACCATATAATAACACTATAATAACCATATAATAACCATATAATAACCATATAATAACCAGCATAGTTTGCAAGATTTGGCAAGACTGTCTGGAGAGCTTTGATCAACCACAGCCTTCACTGCCAGGATTTGCCGCTGAGTCACAGGCTGTTCAGCCAGGGAGTGGCACTTTTTGTGGCATTGGATTTCCGGGGTTACACCGCTGGCCGTTGTGAAGGCAGGTACCCTCTGGTAAACGTTTACATAACTATGGAAAATCACCATTTTTTTGGGGAAAAATCACTATTAAATGGCCATTTTCAATAGCTATGTTAAATTACCAGAGGGTAAATGTCCTACTTGAAGATCACCCAACTATCGGGCCAACTCGTGTGGATTCGGAATATAACAATATGACCTCCAACAGACACTTGAAGGTGATCACAAAAATAAAAAAAATTGACCAACCCCTCTTGTTGGCTTCTTTGTTGGGAAAACCTGATTTCTTTTTCAATCTCTAGGGGTAGGGCGATCAAAAACCTGAGTCCTCTTGTCTCACCCGGTGGTGAATTGCATTGACCAAACCAGGGCTTGCAGGTAGTGTTCCCCTCAAAGCAGGATGTCAACGAAGTCATACAACTCTTTCAAGATGCTGGGGGCCGTTCCAAACTTCGATGCTTTCATGCTGCGAATTGCTATACTGGTTGGTGACCGGTGGTTTGGAACATATTTTATTTTTCCATATATTGGGAATGTCATCATCCCAACTGACTATGTTTTAACAGTGCTATTTTGACGGTTTTACACCGGGTAATTTGACCTATGCTCTTGCTCCTCCTTGCGGCAGCATTAAACAGCCTCTGTTTCAGGTTTTCAGCCTGTGGGTAAAACAATGGGATAACCTCCATAAGTTGATGGTTAGTGGTAGTAAAACCAACAAGAATAGAGGTTGCACCAACAATAATAGGTTATACTGTAATGGATATTATATAATGTGGGAAAAACAATGTCATAAACCACCCATGACTGGGAATGGCAAACATACTACCTATAAAAATGACGATTACTGGAGATGGTTGATTGTTTTACCCACATTAATGAGGGTGTTAAACGGATAGGTGACACTGACCTCAACCCCTATGGAAAGAGCTTATTGAAAGACAATGTCCTACAATGTGGGACCACCGAAAGATAGCTAAGTTGGTGAACATAACTCTAATAACTTTATGGTCTATTATATGCAAATAAAATCAACAAATATAGTTAATATATAATTGCCATTGGCTATTAATTGGAAGGATACCCTCTGATAAACTAACATAACTATGGAACATCACCATTTTTCACGGGAAAATTCACTATAAATGGTGAAGTCACCCGCAATAGTGATTCAATAGTGGTACAACCTGCCCGTAGACTTCCATCGGATGACCCATCGAGGACATGCGAAGATTGCTTGAGCTTCGCTGTGGCGTCGGTTCCAAAAGAATACCAACTTAACCAAATCAACATAATGATAGATGTAAGATATCTTTATAACTAATCTTACATATAACTATTGCTCTACATGAATTATCACATCTCAATACATCTCGAAAACTGGCTGGTGGTTTGGAACATTGTATCTATTTTCCATATATTGGGAACAATAATCCCATTTGACTATGTTTTTTTCAGAGGGGTTGAAACCACCAACCAGAAAGATAGGTGAACAAATATGGTGAAGCCGTGACGCCGTTGCGCCAGGTGGAGCGTTTGGGAGCAGATTATGCCAACCTCCGAGAGCAAAGGCATCTACGCCGATGCCACGCAGAAGGTACGAGGGAAACGGTTCGAGTTCAGTTCGATCTGGATGCCGGAGATGGGGGAAAATGTCACCAACTATGGAGGATTGAACCATGAAACTTGATGATCAACTATCGAAAAATGGTGATTAGGGGATTAAAAAATGGTCATTCAACTATTTAAGCATCAAACATTGGTGATTCAACAATCAGAAACGTGATGTCAGGACCAACCAAAAGGAAACCAAGCATCAAACACAGATGAATAGACAGATAGATAGACCGATAGAGAGATAGAGAGATAGAGAGTTACAGCAATACCAAGATACGGTAATGTCCCTTTAGGAACTGGTTACCCAAGCAATATTTCAGCTCAGCCATACAGTACAAGGTGGTGGCCCCGTTGGCCAATTGGTTTTGAATTTACAAGCCATACAATTATAGGGTTTATGGCAGACAAATGTATAGTTAATATGAGTGAATGAGGCTTATAAACCAGCAAACTGTTTCACTCACCACATTGTGTAGATAATGTCATAGTTGGGTACAGTAAATTGACTATATAGTAAAAGTGCATTCCACCCATTAGCAAACCCAATTCCCAAAAGGACATCAAACGACCTGGGAGTTTGCACACACTGCTTTTGTCATTCATTGCTGTACTACAGGCTGCAAAGCATTGTTATATATACATGCCATATCATACGATCCATGCCTAGTTTATGTGCATTTGCCGCAACAAGAATCATCCAGTTTCTCTGGTACTGAAAAACCAGCATGTGCCATGGTGGTAAACCGATCAATTTCGCCAAGTCTATGGGCTGCGATTGGACCCCGGTTTCGTTGCAGGTACAAACTTGGTGCTGCCCAAGTTTGTTAAAGAGAGTTGGTTTACCTGTTTAGGATGATATTTCAGAAGGGTTTATGAAAGATGTATCATGTATTGACTTATTATTTTTAGTTGACTAGTACTTCCCTAGGGTTGATAGTAGAAATAGCCCCAAAATATCTTAAGTCATCTATACAGTATATACCCTACAGCTCCAAACACCTTCTGAGAGTGGATTTGGAGTTGTTTTTTGGAGTCTGTCTGGTTACACCTTCTCAGAGGCTATTTGGAGCACATTCCCGGGATAGTTGGGATAGTTGAGGAGCTTTATGAAGCAACAAACTGCAGCAAACTTGCACCTTCCGCCGTTGCACCTTCCGCCGCCGTAGGTTGCAAGCTTCGGAACTGTGCAGGATTTTTGGAGGTGGGCTGACAGACATAGGCTGCTAGGCTATTCAAATGGTTAACTTGATGATATACTACTGGCTGGTGGTTTCAAATATGTTCTTTTTCCATTTCATCTATGGGATAATTCGACCCATTGACGAACTCATGTGTTTCAAGATGGTTATTGCATCACCAACCAGACTAGAAACAATAATTGGTATTACTATTACTGTTAACTAAACTTATACTGTAATTATGGTATATAATGAGTTGATAATTATTACTTTTTTGTGTTGATGAAGTTTGTGAACCAACTTATAAGGGGCACCAGCTTGTACCTCCAAATGACAACTCTAAGCGGGAACATGATGATAAAGATTGATGCTAGCCTTATTTTCATACAAAATAGGTAAGTGAGCTGAGTGACCTAGATTCTCCATGTTTCAGGAATTGTGTACCAACATTTAGCCAAAATATCGTCGAAGTGCTAGTAAATATGAACTTTTTCATCCATCTGGGTGATATCACTGTGGAATTGGTAGCCTTTGTTTATGTCAAAATAGCTATTGAAAATGGCCATAGAAAGTTCGTGAGTTTTCCCATGAAGAGCATGGTGGATCGTTCCATAGTTGTTTGTATGTTTACCAGAGGGTAAACAAAGAAAACCATTGGTGATTGGTGAACGTGGTGTTGATATCCTGAAAAGGTGAACATTTAATGTTTAGCAAGATACAATGGAGAACACAGCAGCAAATTTAGGATTGTTCATTACTCACGCACCCCAAAACGAACATCAAGAACAAGCATTGGAATATGAAACCACATGATGATTCTAAAAAGCAAGATGCACCCAGAGTTCTCGATGCCTCATAGTTGGCATGTTGTCCATTGTATACCCTTTTTTGCAGGCACATTGCGGTTCTTCTTTTGCTCGCATGCTGGATATCGCTCAACAAAGCGGCTGATTGGATATCGCTTTGCATCCTCGATTCCGGCAGATCCAAGTAGGCAGGACACCCTTAGCTTTGTGGTTGTGCAATATATCTTTTCACATTCCCAGAAAAAAGAGCCCTAATTTTTAATGTAAAAGAACCAAGTATTTGTATGTGTGTGTTTTCTCCCACAAATGAATGCTCATACACCGTCACTAGTATGCCCACTATATCATAGTCTATCCATGTCTATCCCCATATATTCGCATCAATTGTAACTACTTGCATACATTGCCACTCAATTCCGTTCATTTCCTGAAAGTCACAAATTATTTCAGAGTTTCTGCGTGTACAAGCATATATTTAAATATGGAATGTAGTATGTAGATATGAATGTAATGTGAATATCAATGCTGTTTTGGAAAGATACGCTTAGCAGGCTTTTTGTCACTATATATATATATATTTAGATGATCCCCAACCTTGGATGGTTAGGTAGTTTAATCCTTGAGTTTTTTTGCTATAAATGGAAACTAAGAAAATAACCAGCAACAGATGACAATATATTTTGTGGACTGAAACATATTGTCACTGTAGATTGGCAGTTTACAACCCACATTAACTTAACTATAGTTACATCACCCATTTTCCGAAACATTGTCCAAATGTTGTTTGTCCAGTGAGCTATCGTAAACGGGGGCCCCTTTGTATCACTGCCATGCAGGTTTTGGAATCACATCCCCCAACCCAGCGAGCTACTGGAACAAAAGCGTTTGGTGCGGCACCCAGGGGCTCGTTTTGGGGAATGGCCAATTGGTGAATTATGGTGATTGAATATTATTTACCTGTGACAAATTACGATTTTCCATAGAGTTAAAGTCCAGATTACCATCTGGTTATTTGTTACATAGCGAACTGGAAAGATCCACCATTTTTAAGAACTGTAAACCATCTATTTCTATGGGTCATTTCCCATGGCAAACTGTTAGTCATAACCAGAGGGTAACAGTGATTTTTACGGGGCGATCATTCCATGGGGTGACCTGCTGACTTGTCAATCTGTATCTAAAGGGCCAGTTTGGGGCCATGGGTGGCTCCACTTGTACATCAGCAACAATATATTTTGTGAATATCATGGTACCAGTACAACTATGGAGGATTGAACCATGAAACATGATGATCAACATCGAAAAATGGTGATTCAAGTATCAAAAAATGGGTGGTTTCAAACACTTTCTATTTTCCATTTCATACATTTCCATTTCATATATGGGTTGTCATCCTTCCCATTGACTTTCATATTTTTTCAAGATGGTTATTGCACCACCAACCCGGCATGGTACCAGTACAACTTAATGTTATAGAATGGGCTAGCGCCCGGGTGCCGCCGACCCCCCTTCTGGGGGGTTGGGCTGAAGGTGGTCGGTGCGGTGCATGTTTGACTGATGATGATGAGGATGATGGTGATGATCATGATGATCATGATGATGAAGAGGATGATGATGATGATGATACTGATGATGATGATGATGATGATGGTGATGATGGCCATGATGACCCTGATGACCCTGATGATTATGACCATGATGATGATGACCATGATGATGATGACCATGATGATGATGATGATGGTGATGATGATGATGATGATGATGGTGATGGTGATGGTGATGAGGATGATGACGACGACGACGACGACGACGACGATGATGATGATGATCCCAACGGGTCTGCGCAGGGTTCAACGCATATGCAGGGTCCCAGTGCAGGCAAAACCAGGGTTGCAGCGAACACGTTTCCGCTACCAGGTTAGTTTTTTCAGAAGTCACTGTGGTGCTGTGGCGAATTTGTGCTTTGCAGTTCGAGTAAACCATGCAGTCTTTTTGGACCTGCTGGCAGATCTGGCAGCTGTCTCGGTCTATATGTTGAAGCTCTTGCGTTTTTTGTTGTTTGTTACATTCACTGGATTCGGCGCTTGGGTATAGCCTGTGGTTTTGGGTGCTTCCCTCTGCAGTCGGTCATGCATCCCAGTTGTGTCGTTGGAGTTGTATTTATTTTTATATATCATATTATATAATTAACTTGGCTCAATGCAGACTCTCACCCTCCAACATGGCAACACCTGGATCGAGGCATAGGATCTCCGCGCGCAACAGGTTGGAATGGACAATGTGTCAGTTTTGCAGAGTGCATCGGGCTCATCATGTTCACGTGAAAAGCCACCAAAAATTAGCTATCCTGTAATGCACGTGCCATTGCGGATGTCTGGGCTGCCATCGCCCAACGAAAACGGAATAGAGAACAGGAGAGCCCCTAAACGAAGGAAGAAGGGCCGAATGCAAAACAACGCAGACAAGAGAACGGAACGGAAATGACCACAGAAGCGCCTGCAGATGTACGTGGCAAACAGGACGACGGCAACGGACGGCAGAGGGCGGTGCGGCCAACGAAGGCAGCAGAAGCCATGGCCAAAGGCAAGATTTTCCAATACGTGTGTCCGGAGTCCGCATTGCAAGCAGCCTGTAAGCAGTACTATACGAACAGGCCAAGTCAATCACCGCCGCACATGCGGTAACTATTTCCGAGTCAGGGAAGGACGCCCCTGTGCGAAACAGTATGACTACGTTTGTCCCGCTTGCAATGGGCATGTGGCCAGTAACGTGGCGACAGGGCAAATAAACCATCGAACAGTCTGTGGGAACCAATTTTCTGTTCAGGATGGCGTTGTTAAAGAGAAAGGCATAGTTTACAGGTGTCCATTTTGCAAGGGAAATGCGAGAAGCGATGTCAGGACAGGGCAAATAGACTAGCGAACAGTCTGTGGGAACCAATTTTCTGTTCAGGATGGGGTTGTTACAGAGAAAGGCGTACAGGTTTCCATTTTGCAAGGGAAATGTGAGAAGCGACGTCCGGACAGGGAGAATCGACCATCGAACAGTCTGTGGGAACCAATTTTATGTGAAGGACAGTGCGGTCAGCAAGAACAGACGGTGTCATGCGCGCAGTTGCGCGGTGTGCTCAACTGTAATTTGGTCATCGCAGTCATGTGGGCGCATTGCGGTGACGCATGTCACGCCCTCGGGAAAACGATGCCAGATGAAACATTGGCACGTTCCCGACAAAAAGGCAAAGGAGAAAAGGAAATGAAATAGAAAGACGCTGTGCTTGCCGTAGGAACAGATGGCAATGGCAAGACCCCTGCGGCGAAGCATTAACAACAGAGGAAATAGAAAGACGCTGCGCTTGCCGTAGGAACAGATGGCAATGGCAAGACCCCTGCAGCGAAGCATTTGAGAGGTTTGAAAGCTGGCAAACGGAAAGAATGTATACGCGGTAACAACAGACGCGATGGAAGCAAACGGCGGGCTTCAACGTTCCAACAACAAATGCCTGCGGCCAGAGTGCCTGAAGAAAGCTGCCGCGAGGGATTTTGAAGGCTTTAACGATTTGAAGGCTTGGAGAAGGCTATGTACACGCAAAGGGCAGGCTGCAATGCTGGAACAGCAAAGGCTGACGGCCAGAGGGCTTGGTGGCAGCTGCCGCGAGGGATTTGGAGGGTTTTAAGGGTTTTGCGTTTGAAGGCTGGCAAACGGCAGGCTTGAATGCCCCAACAACAGAGGGCTCTGTGCAGGCAAAGGGCAGGCTGCAACCCTGGAACAGCAAAGGCTGACGGCCACAGGGCTTGGTGGCAGCTGCCGCGAGGTATTTGGAGGATTTTAAGAGTTTTAAGCGTTTGAAGCCTGGCAAACGGCAGGCTTGAATGCCCCAACAAGAGAGTGCTATGGGTTTGAAGCCTGGCAAACGGCAGGCTTGAATGCCCCAATAACAGAGGGCTATCTATGTGCAGGCAAAGGGCAGGCTGCAACCCTGGAACAGCAAAAGCTGACGGCCAGATGGCTTGGTGGAAGCTGCTGCGAGGGATTTGGAGGGTTTAACGGCAGGCTTGAATGCCCCAACAACAGAGGGCTATGTGCAGGCAAAGGGCAGGCTGCAACCCTGGAACAGCAAAAGCTGACGGCCAGAGGGCTTGGTGGAAGCTGCCGCGAGGGAGTTGGAGGGTTTTAAGGGTTTTAAGGGTTTGAAGCCTGGCAAACGGCAGGCTTGAAAGGGTTTTAGAGGGCTATGTGCAGGCAAAGGGCAGGCTGCAACCCTGGAACAGCAAAGGCTGATGGCCAGAGGGCTTTGTGGCAGCTGCCGCGAGGGATTTGGAGGGCTTTAAGGGTTTTAAGGGTTTGAAGCCTGGCAAACGGCAGGCTTGAATGCCCTAACAACAGAGGGCTATGTGCAGGCAAAGGGCAGGCTGCAATGCTGGAACAGCAAAGGCTGACGGGCAGAGGGATTGGTGGAAGCTGCCGCGAGGGATTTGGAGGATTTTAAGAGTTTTAAGCGTTTGAAGGCTGGCAAACGGCAGGCTTGAATGCCCCAACAACAGAGGGCTATGTGCAGGCAAAGGGCAGGCTGCAACCCTGGAACAGCAAAGGCTGACGGCCAGAGGGCTTGGTGGCAGCTGCCGCGAGGGATTTGGAGGGCTTTAAGATTTTTAAGCGTTTGAAGCCTGGCAAACGGCAGGCTTGAATGCCCCAACAACAGAGGGCTATGTGCAGGCAAAGGGCAGGCTGCAACCCTGGAACAGCAAAAGCTGACGGCCAGAGGGCTTGGTGGAAGCTGCCGCGAGGGATTTGGAGGGTTTTAAGGGTTTTAAGCGTTTGAAGCCTGGCAAACGGCAGGCTTGAATGCCCGAACAAGAGAGGGCTATGTGCAGGCAAAGGGCAGGCTGCAATGCTGGAACAGCAAAGGCTGACGGGCAGAGGGATTGGTGGAAGCTGCCGCGAGGGATTTGGAGGGTTTTAAGGGTTTTGCGTTTGAAGGCTGGCAAACGGCAGGCTTGAATGCCCCAATACCAAAGGGCTATGTGCAGGCAAAGGGCAGGCTGCAACCCTGGAACAGCAAAGGCTGACGGCCAGAGGGCTTGGTGGCAGTTGCCACGAGGAAGCTGTGCAGCATTTGGAGCCAAGAAGTTCCACACCTGCGGTGGTCCCAGGCGCCGCCCCTGCCTTGGCGAAGGCCGGGGTCGGCGGATATATTGCTGTACCATACTATGTTCGATTTTATTGGTGCAATATTTTTTGCACATTCACATACAGTACCAGGTTGGTTAATTGACGTTGCTTCTTATTCCCATTATATCCGCATTATATCCCCAGTATATCTCCCTTAAATCACAATTTTATCACCAGAAAGTGATTTGTTCCACCAATTCACCATTATATCACAATGTTATATTGATGTCACTTCATGGGTCAAAATGATGCACATATGTACCCTAAAAATGGATTGTTTTATACTCGAAATAGACATTCCACACACTGTGGTCCCCTGAATCTGAAGAAAATGATCCATCCCCACGTTGATGCAAGGGGAATCATCTGCAGACGGCTGAACTTTTCAGGTGAGTGAAACATGTTGTAATTTATGCCAGATTTTTCAGGGTATGAATGGGTATATCCATGGAATCAATGGGTCCAAAGGCAGCCCCGTCCGAAGCAGCATCCTCAAGTTCGAAGGTATTCAAAAATGCCTGTCGCGCCAGAACCTTGCCAAGAAGGGTTTGGGACGCAACTCAACGACTGAGAGAGCAGTGCGATCAATTCGAAGCAGTGGAAGAGGATGATCTCAAAGTGTGCCTGGACCATGTCGATGGCCTAATCATGGGCAAGCCAGGGCAGAGCTCTCACAGCGTCATCTTCTGTGATAAAGGCGTGCAAGGTTGGGATGATCCCGAAGTGCTTGATGGGTCAATCAAATACCATTTTGGAACATACCCGGTCAACATGAAGAACTTTGTGCAAGGAGTGGTCTTCAAACGCGAACTTCACAGGGTCAGACGATACATGTTCCCCTCATTTTTCCCATTAAAACTTCCATTTTTGTAGTGGATGTTGGTTCATGCAGGATGGTGCCCCCAGTTATAAGTTGGTTTATAAACCCCATTAACTAGTTCGTCAATGTTCTTCGTTATATCTGCCATAAACCCTAGTTATGGGAGTTATAAACCAACTTAGCTAACTACGGGGCACCACCTTGCATGTGTCCCAGTTTTTTTTCCTTCGCGAGGTCCGTGAACACCCAGACGGCCTGCGCGTCATCGACGCCCTGATGATCTTCCAAGAGAACATCCGTGGCGCGGCGATGTGGGATATATGGAGGTTTCCATAGTCATGGGGATACCCAAAAATGGATTGTTTATAATGGAAAATCCTGTAAAAATGGATAGTTTATAATGGAAAATCCATGAAAATCCCATAAAAATGGATGGTTTATGGAAAATCCAATAAACATGAATGGTTTATAATAGAAAATCATGAAAATCCATGAGCATTCCATAAAAATGAATGTTTTGGGGTACCCCTATTTTAGGAAACCGCTATATGTATACTGGATGATGCAAGATAGACTGTATTTAATTTATATACAGTACACATACATACCTGGTTGGTGGTTTGGAACATTTTTATTGTTCCATATATTGAGAAGAATAATCCCAACTGACTGATATTTTTCAGAAGGGTTGAAACCACCAACCAGATACAAATGTATTCATATATAGCTGAAAAATGTCTGTGTATGAATGTAAATACATGCATGTCATATGTGGACGGACCATGTCTCCAAGCACTATGTTAATTTGACTGCACGGGATCGGGTTGTCTTCTCGGACACAAAGGCAAACCAAAGTAACGCAGCAGCATCAAATATCCGTATGTTCAAAAACTGCTCAAAGGTATCATGATGAGCAGAACAAGAAGACACCAAAAAACATATGAATATGAGATATGGTAACATGTGATCAATCCTGAATTTGTTCAAAACCATCTATCACATATCATATCAACCCATATCAGTCCATATCAGTCCATATCAGGGAGTCGTGAGACGGTTGTTTTTTTGCATGGCGAAATCAGTATACATTTGCAGCAAACCCAGTTGCCATTGGCATTCCTGCCGTCCCTGGAACACCATTTGTGTCAGCAGCTGCCATGCCTGCTCCACCTGCCAGTACTCCAGCCAATGCTGGGCCAGTTGCCAGTGCTCAAGACAGCATTGCTCCAGCTGCCAGTGATCAAGATGCAGGTGCCAGTGGTCCAGATGCAGGTGCCAGTGGTCCAATCGGGAGGCGGTCTTGGACGAAAAGCATGGCACCACAAAATGCGAAATTTGCCGGCAACGAGTTGGAGGTGGCGCCTGTGGTTATGACAAGCATGTTCGCACCTCCAAACACCACTTGTCCTGGGAGTACCATCTGCGAGGTCTGCCATGGTCCCAGGCACAGGCGCGGGCAGCCAAGGAGTGGGCACGCGCTTGGCAGGAGGAAAACAGGCCCATCACTTTGTCTCCGCGGTTTTTTTCCGAATCAGGAGCCTCCGCCATGGGCTCGTGGAGGTGGTAAAAGCCCTGCAGCCGACCCGGAGCCGCAGCACTGTGGATTTGCGCGAGAGTGACAAGGCTCCCGGAGCCCCGCCGCAAAGGTCGCTCTATGCTTGTTCTTTTAAGTATGGATACTATATTCAAACCTACAAAGAGTTTCATGACAGATACTTATATGATATATAAACCGTAGATATTTTCACTTTAGTAGTTTTAAGTTATATACACAATAAATATGTGTTGTTCATTTTTGTTTTCTATGAGCTCACCTATCGTTTGAGGGTCCTTTCCTGCTGCATATTTCAAGAAATACAGGCCCTCAAGTCTTTCACTTTTGTTTTCTAGTGGTAAATGTGAACACATGGCAGGTGCTCCGGCTAGATTTGTAGACATTTACATCATTATCTATATGCCAATGATATATGTTTATATCATTTTTTCCCGAGAGCGTCTGAGCGCAGTGTTCTTCCAATAGTGGGGGTCTGCATCTCATCTTCTCATCTTCACATCTTCACATCTTCACATCTTCACATCTGCTCATCTTCACATCCTCACATCTTCACATCTCCTCATCTTCACATCTCCTCATCTTCACATCTTCTCATCTTCACATCTTCACATCTTTACATCTTCTCATCTTCACATCCTCACATCTTCGCATCTGCTCATCTTCACATCTTCTCATCTTCACATCTGCTCATCTTCACATCTGCTCATCTTCACATCTTCTCATCCTCCCATCTGCTCATCTCCACATCCTCATATCTTCTCCTCTTGTCCTCTTGCCCTCTTGCCTTCTCCTTCTTTTCTATTTCTCTCTTGAAGGCGCGGGGCAGTGCCAACGAGACGGCACGAAACACAACCCTTTCGCACGAAATGAGGTTCGATCGCCGAAAACTGGTGTAAAATTGCGATGTCAACTTGTCCTGCGCAACCCTTTCGCACGAAATGAGGTTCGATCGTCAAAAACTGAGGTAAAATTGCGATTTACAAATCGTCCCTTTCGCACGAAATGAGGTTCGATCGCCAAAAACTGCGGTAAAAGTGCAATTTTCGTGTTTCCGGTGAACTCTTTTGCACAAAATGAGGTTCGATCGCCAAAAACTGGTGTAAAATTGCGATTTGCAAGTCGTCCCGCGCAACCCTTTCGCACGAAATGAGGTTCGATCGCGAAAAACTGATGTAAAATTGCGATTTCCGGGTTCAACCGTCGCAACCCTTTCGCACGAAATGAGGTTCGATCGCCAAAAACTGAAGTAAAATTGCGATTTCCGGGTTCCCGTCGCAACCCTTTCGCACGAAATGAGGTTCGATCGCCAAAAACTCACTGAAGTAAAATTGCGATTTCCGGGTTCCTGTCGCAACCCTTTCGCACGAAATGAGGTTCGATCGCCAAAAACTGCGGTAAAATTGAAATTTCCAAGTTGCCCGGCGAAGTGTGTAAAAGCAACTGTGTGTAGAAGCGTCTGTGTGTAAAAGTGTCTGTGTGTACAAGCGTCTGTGTGTAAAAGCTTCTGTGTGTAAAAGCGTCTGTGTGTACAAGCGTCTGTGTGTAAAAGCTTCTGTGTGTAAAAGCGTTTGTGTGTACAAGCGTCTGTGTGTAAAAGTGTCTGTGTGTAAAAGCGTTTGTGTGTACAAGCGTTTGTGTGTACAAGCGTCTGTGTGTAAAAGCGTCTGTGTGTAAAGCGTCTGTGTGTAAAAGCGTCTGTGTGTAAAAGCTTCTGCGTGTAAAAGCTTCTGTGTGTAAAAGCCCCTGTGTGTAAAAGCGTCTGTGTGTAAAAGCGTCTGTGTGTAAAACCGTCTGTGTGTAAAAGCGTCTGTGGTGTAAAAGCGTCTGTGTGTAAAACCGTCTGTGTGTAAAAGCGTCTGTGGTGTAAAAGCTTCTGTGTGTAAAAGCGTCTCTGTGTAAAAGGTTCTCTGTGTGAAAAACTTTACGAAAGATACGATGCAAACTATATTGTCTTGATACTGATACTACTCTTCTCGTCTTCCTATAATACATCTTTAATGTATTGTCTTGTAATATGGTGTCTCCATACTAACAACAGAAGACCCTGCTCCTCTACGCTCTCGGGCCATCCGTCGTCTAGTTTTATCATTTACATTTCCATTTACATAATTATCTACCAATGATATAACATACACATATGTTATGTTTTTCGGTATATCATGTGAACTTGGCTCCGGATGCTAGGGCGGTCCGGGATTTTTTTTTTCGTAAGTACCTGGAGTATATCCCAGTCACAGCAAAGCATGAAGCATCATTACTAGTTTCAGTCAGTGTAGTTCCATGGTTCCTGAAATGTGTCAATGTACCACAATGTTTCAGTCAATGTCCGTAGTTCCAAAGTAACCCCAGTCATCATCCATTTCTAGATTGGATTTTCGTTTTGTGAACCAACCATTTTTGGATACCCCCATTTATGAAACCATATATATATATATATTATAATATATATATATGTATATATATAGAGCATTTTAGATGTTCGGCTATTCCGAAATGTAAATATCAGCATCCCACTACATTCATAGACTCACAAGAACCTCAGCTTCAATGGTTTTCACGGATCCTAACGGGAATCATTCCCCCAAATATCCCCCGAATATCTGTAAGGATTGGGGATTTGATCTCAATGTGTACCTTCTTAGGAAGTACTTGGGGTATGATTTAGGGGGTTAAGTACCTTCTCAGACAGTGCTTGGATCCATAGGGATTTTGATTTGCCTGTTGTTATCATTACTATTCTCTTGTTTCCAGAACTGGTTTTAGGGAAATATGTGCAATGTGGGCCCCCCTAGCTATAAGATGGTTTATAAGCCCCATTTACTATAGTTATTTGCGTATAATAACCCATAGCTATTAGAGTTATGTTACTTAGCTAGTTTTTTTTTTTTCGGGGGCCCCGCATTGTAGGAAACTCTTGTTTTGGGATGTCAAAACGCCAAGGCCCAGAATGGGAGGACAAGATGAACGCCAATGGTGGACACTTCCAGGCCATACCAGCCGATCCGGGCCCCCAGTGATGGCTAAGTTGGCTTGTAAATGTGTAAAGCCCATGAATACGATAGCTATTGGAGTATATAGTTATCGGAGTATAGTCTGTATAGTTGGTTTATGAGTTGTAGTTATATTGTAAACCATATAGTGAAGTTGGAGTTATTTGCATCAACCTAGCCATCGGATAGGGCCCGATAGTGGAAGCCTACGAGTTTCCATCATTTGAAATTCGATGATCTCTTCAATCATGTTTTAACGTGATTAATTAACGTGCATTCTCTTAGATTTCAACATGTACAAGGAACACTGCCAGCACTAGCACATTTTTCCCCAAAATGGGGTGGTTACTGTACACCCAACAGTTTCAATACTGAAATCGTCTAATCCACCATCGCACTAAGGGGGGAGGTACACGAGATAGGATAGATAGGTCGGTTTATAGATCTATAGTTGGATAGGTTTATGATACACAAAAATCAGTTGGCCCCTTCCTGTACTGTGTTTTACCATGTGGATATTTTTCTTGTACACAACTTGCAAGTTTACGTGTCTCGAATTGAGTGGATGCTCCAATGGTCTTGATTCCTATACCACATTTTCCTGATAGTTCGACATGTTTGATTGAATGCCAATATTGGTTGTCCTAAACGAACCCATTGAGATAAATGACTACTAGTGGCTCATACATGCTTATACTCGGATTGCACCCCCATTATGATAGCCATTTGTTATGGCTCGTACCGACTCTATTGAGTTACCCCCACTATGATACCCGAGTAGTACCGTTATAATGCTCAGTTTCTTCTTATTGTTGGCATGCCCTGATTATTTTGTTTGACCTCGTTTTCGTACTCATGTTCATGCCCCCCGGATTTAAGCCATATTGGACGCCCATTTTGCATGGTTAAGCTAGCCCCCTTGCGTATGTATGTATGTATGTATGTATGCATGTATGCATGTATGTATGTATGTATGTATGTATGCATGTATGCATGTATGCATGTATGTATGTATGTATGTATGTATGTATGTATTGTATGTATGTATGTATGTATGTATGTATGTATGTATGTATGTATGTATGTATGTATGTATGTATGTATGTATGTATGTATGTATATATGTATGTTTGTAGATGTATGTTGTATGTAGGTAGGTATGTATGTATGTATGTATGTGATGTTGTATGTATGGTAGTATGTTATGTATGTATTGGCGTATTGTATGTATTGTATTATTGTATGTATGGTATGTATGTATGTATTGGTATGTATTGTAGTATTGTTGTATTGATTATTGTATGTATTGTATGTATGTATGTATGGTATTGTATTGTTATGTATTGTATGTATTGTATGTATTGATGTATGTTAGTATTGATGTAGTGTATGTATTGTATGTATGCTAGTATTGTATGTATTGTATGTAATGTATGTATTGTATGTATGTATTGTATGTATGTATGTATGTATGTGTGTATGTATGTATGTATGTACGTATGTACGTATGTACGTATGTACGTATGTACGTATGTACGTATGTACGTATGTATGTATGTATGTATGTATGTATGTATGTATGTAATGTATGTATGTATGTATGTATGTATGGATGTATGCATGTATGTATGTATGTATGTAATGTATGTATGTATGTATGCATGTATGTATGTATGTATGTAATGTATGTATGTATGTATGTATGTATGTTTGTATGTTTGTATGTATTGTATGTATTGTATGTATTGTATGTATTGTATGTATTGTATGTATTGTATGTATTGTATGTATTGTATGTATTGTATGTATTGTATGTATTGTATGTATTGTATGTATTGTATGTATGTATGTATGTACGTATGTACGTATGTATGTATGTATGTGTGTATGTCTGTATGTATGTATGTATGTATGTATGTATGTATGTATGTATGTATTGTATGTATGTATGTATGTATGTATGTATGTATGTATGTATGTATGTATGTATCATTTGTGCATATATATAAACAATATGTGTATATTTAAAATATTATATGATATGTGTATATATAATATGTAAATATATAATTAGTGTATATATATATATATATATATTATGTGTATATAATATAATATGTATATATATATATACATATATATATTATACATATATATATATATTTACATATACATACACTATATATTATATATATATTATTTACATATCATATATATATTTAATGTACTCTACAACACACACACACTTCTTCTGGAATCCGTGATGTCCTTGGCAATCACCGGTCTCCGCACAGTTCCAGCTGAAGCCCAGCTGCGGCGGCGGTCAGATCGACGAGTGCCCGAGCGCTGCGGAGATAGGGATTTCCTATATGTTTATGGCTGTTTATTAGTTAATAATAGTGATCAATAGTGGTAAATACAGTAATGGTTAATAGTGGTAGTGTTTGATGATGGTTAAAACTGGTGGTTTTATTGGGATTTAAACATATATATGGGGTTTTGTCAGTATATACTCATAACTGGTAAAGGGCCATAACCGTAGGGATGTTCATCAGCAAAATATGAGGATCACATGTTTAGTAATTAAGTGAGTCAGTGAGTTTTAAATTATGGGGAAATAATTGGGTATCTATCAAACAAATATATTTTTGATGTGTTGGATGCAAATGATATATGAGGATATAAATAACTGAAGAATGATGATTGGTTGATGAATGAGTTTTTGAGGTTATGTAGGGGATGCAATACGTTTTTAGCCATCCAACAATATGGGGAAATAAAGTGGATGTATTGGACAAATGATGTTTGTTCGATGATTAGTTCGGGGATTGTGCTACTACCCCCAATACAACCCAATATGTTGTTGATTATCATGGTCCATGAACGGAGAATCCTGTTCTTAAGCTATCAGTATAATGAAACACCGACTGTTTCTGCTGGGATCCTTTATTGCAATTTGGAATTGAACCGCGGAGAGATCCAGGATTACCCATAGGATCCATGGTGCTGCTATATATGGTAAGCCCCCTTTATGTTAGCATATATAGCAGCACCATGGATCCGTCATGGGTTATGACGTCATTCATTTGGGAGAAGTCCCAGTTTCTGAACAATAAGGAGGCCACCATCTCTGACTCCAGGGACCGATTCAGTATTCACCGGCCCTGTGACTGATTGGTGGTTTGGAACATGAATTTTATGACTTTCCATATATTGGGAATGTCATCATCCCAACTGACTGTCATATTTTTCAGAGGGACTGAAACCACCAATCAGATCAGTTTTGGTCACCTGATTCAGTTGGTTGAAGCATGTTGAAGCTCACTTCCCAGCATCGCTGGTGAAGATCCATGAAATTAATCCGATGAAATCAATCCATTGATTCCACAGAAAGGAACTGGCTCCCAAATTTCTTAAGTTGTTTTTTTCACCCCACGAACTATAGCAAAAATGACCATAAACATCCATAAACATTCATAAACATTCATAAACATCCATAAACATCCATAAACATCCATAAACATCCATAAACATCCACACACACATCCACACACACACATCCATAAACATCCTAAACATCCATAAACATCCATAAACATCCATAAACATCCATAAACATCCATAATCCCTAAGAAAATTCGAGTTCAACTTGCACCAACTTTTCACGATTTCGGAGTCACGGGAAGCACGCCACAGTGCTGCCAGCGCTGCCAGGTACTGGAACAACCTGGTGATGGGGATGATTGGTGCGACCATCGATCCACCGAACATGATCACAGGCACCCTCTGACGTGGGCCCCAAACTGGTTATTTAAGTGCCATCTAGATAGCTAAGTTGGCTTATAGGTACAATAACTAGGGTTTATGTTAGAACTATAGTTAGATGGGGTTATACCATCTGGTTATTTAACATAGCCATGGAAAATTGCCCTTTTTAATAGGTAAATCATCAAAAATCATCAAAAAACATCATCAAATAGGACCTCTATTTCTATGGGCCATTTTCCATGGCTATGTTAAATAACCAGAGGGTATATGGCCAAGTGGCCAACCCAGTAGAATTGAGTCCCTTTGTTATGTTTGATACCAGTATGAGTTACGTCGTGGCGATACATTGAGGAATAGAATGCCCAGCTCAAGAACATGAAAGATCTTGAAACGCGGTTCTTGATATACAATGAAGGCACATTTTACACTGGTTGATGGTTGGTGGTTTGGAAAATTTTGTATTTTTCCATATATTGGGAATAATAATCCCAACTGACTAATATTTTTCAGAGGGACTGAAACCACCAACCAGTACATCATTTTCTCCAGATAGAACTCATTTAGATCTCAATTTTCCTTGGAACATCCTTTGAGTTGACCCTCCGAGTCAGGGGTTGGTCATGGATTTCAGGTCAGTTTCCAGTGTTTCCATTGGATTTGGCAAAGGAAGTTTTGAGTAGTTTGGCAAATCCAATGGAAAACGCTTGGACAGGAATGATTTAATCAATTGCAGTATCCACTAGAATTAATCCATGTAATCGTTTATTTATCTATGGGAATCTGAGGCTTGCCCTCTACAGACGTCAGAATGTTTGAACATGATTGGACCCCTCAAGTTCTCAATCCGAGTCCTTTGCCGGGGCACCTCGAACCATCTCAACTAATCCACAATTTTCAGAGAACTATATTATAATACGTTGACCCAATCCTGCGAAAGTGTTGGTGTATGATGGTTAAGCCCGGAGTCCAATCTAATGGGGCTTCATATGGGGATATATATAGGTCTGTCAATTGGCAACCAGTGCTAGGGCTGCTGCGATGAAAATCCGCCAGGGAAAACAGGTGTTCACCAGGATACCAGGTTTTTTCACCCATACCTGCAATTAGGCTAGGAAAAAGATTTACCAAAGTAAAGAGTAATCTTCGAACGGTTTATATTTGATGCATATCATTTTGGGAAAAAAAGACACTACACTCTCAACAGAAAAGGTATCTTCTATGGTAACTCTCACGTTGGGCCACGTTGGGTGAAGCATGTGTCGCTTGCGTTGACAACGTGCCGTGCCAGGCGTGCGTTTGGTGGATAAACTTTCAGGGCCACGCGCCTCCAACGTGATCCGTATCGAGGCTTGGTCTTGGAACCATGTTCTATTTGTATCTTGGTACAGATTGATGATGTACCCTCTGGTAAACATACAAAAACTATGGAAAATCCATTTTTTTAATGGGAAAATCAACTATAAATGGCCAATGTTTTATAGCTATGTTAAATTACCAGAGGGTAATATTATACCTATATACTTAATATGTATATATATATATATATTATTTATACATTTACAGGATTTATCATGGCTTACCGTATCAATGTGTCAACCAATCAATCAACTACTTCATCGACACCTTTTTGTTATGGGACAGGTCTCAGCCTTTTGCCGTTGTGAAGGTTTAGTTTTGTTGTTCTGTCCCCGGCAGCAGGACAGAACAACAAAACTAAAGCTGCTTAGCACACCAAATCCAAACAAACTTGGCAACACAGAATCCCATACTTATCGTTTCTAGAAACATCATCTATCAGTACAGGATATGTTATGTTCAGGTTCAATGGCTGGAGGATATCCATGGTTCTACAGGTATGGCTCAGACAGGCAGATAAGCCTCACAATTGGATTGTTGTTTACATCCCAACATGACAATCATTCTGGCGACATTTGTGATGTGAACTACAAGCTCCTTGTGCCTGAAATTGTCTCAATCTTGCAGCTTCTTGAGGGAAAGGAACCATCTCCCTGAAAGAACATGCCGCTTGAGATACGCTCTGGTAATTTAACATAGCTATTGAAAATGGCCATAGAAATAGTGGATTTACCCATTGAAAATGGTGGATCTGTCCATAGTTTTTTCTGTTTACCCGAGGGTACCCTGCCTTCGTTTTGGGCTCCCTGATTGGGTGCATGGATCGGTGGATGGGATTCCTTGACCTTGCCTTTGGATGCTCCAACTTTGGGATCTTCACCGAACGACATACCCTCTGGTAAACTAAGATAGCTATGGAAAACCACCAGATTTAATAGGTAAACCATCTACAAATGGTCCATGTTCAATAGCTATGTTAGTATACTGGAGGGTAAATTTATGGTCACAGACATTTATCCTGATGTTCTCGTTATGACTTAGGACATGTTTTTGGGGTCACTGATCTCCAAACAGCCCTCCTCGCTGGCTTTACCGATACCAGGTGTGGTTTACGGAGAACGAGGATTCTCAAGCCATTGGCCACTTGGACGTTGACAACAGCAAAATTTGTGACATGGTTGGTTGAATCACAGCAGACACATAAAATCATAATAAACACAATTATATATATTATTATATACTATAGACTATATATATATGTGTATTAGAGCAAAGAACACCTCAATATCAATACATGAGCATTGTACTTCAATGGGATAATCACGGGATACATAAGATAATATATGGGATAATAGTGGGATAATGGAAAAGCTATATTTATAGGAACCCCAAGAAGTGTGATGCATCTCTATTTTAGATTTATTTCAACACCATTGTATAGATTTGTGTTCACTTTTCTATTCGTTCTGTATTCCGCTCTCTCTCTCTCTCTGTGTATATACATATAAATATACATATATATATATATGTGTGTGTGTGCGTGTGTGTTCATGTAATTTCTTGTTTCTTCTTTGATTGATCTACGATGCTCATGTATTGATATTTAAGTGTTTCTAAACAAGAGGGGGAAAGGCAAGCACTCTGGATGATTTGAATGACTACTGTAGGTGTGATGCACATCCCATAAAGAAAAGCCTATCAAACAGTGCTAATAACCTTGGTGATCGCAAAAATCCAAAGTCCCCAATTTGTGGGTTCTCCCATATATTCATGGCTTGTAACTATGGTTCCCAACCAGCTATTAAGGCACTCTCCGGAAGAACGTTGAGAAATGCACCTGGGCGGCGTGGATGTAGTGGGTCAAAGTGTTTTCAGAGCTGGGACAATTGGGCTGGTTTCACATTTTTTCTTTGATGAAATCCATATATATATATAAGCTGTGTTTGACCATTATAAATGTAGGGTTTCCTGTAAATTGTAGTCTTTGGGCTTATTTCTGGATTGGGAACCATTGTGATTTTGCGCATCAAAGTATCCGATGTAGAGGTTATACATTCAAGTTTTGGCCCATACCGATCTGGGTACATGGTGGATAAACGCCATAAACTACCAGATGAAACTGTAAGAATGACAAGAATATCAGTAGTGACAGTAGTGGTTGATCTTATCTCCATATTTGCTGGACGAAACCTCCAATCACATTGATGCTTCGAATAAATCAATCTGACTCGGGTCGCATTTTTAAACAAAACATCACATCATGGAAATCTATGAAATTGGACAGCCCAGGTTCGGGTTCACTGGTGAAAAGTCAACACCACACAAAAGAAATGGTTCGCCCCGTCTACAGAACCTAAGTACGACAACTATTTTGGCGGGTTACTGGGGATCGCAACATATCACAACTGAAATGTCAACTTTTGAACTGATTCAAATGTGCCTTTTCTTGTTTAATCATCTTTATGGTTAGTATGTAGTGTTGTCTTTTTTATTTATTTTTTAATAAATAGATTTGGCAGTGCTAGTCAAAATAAAACTGTTGTCTGTTATATGTTACAATATATACGATATCAATATACAGTGTAATCTAATATTTTAATAAAGAATTAGAGTTGATGGAGTCACTTTATCAAACGGTGTACCGCTACAGTGTCATGTGTTCCTGCTGGAAGGGCAGGGGGGACAGCTGACAGCCAGTGGCATCTGTGGCTGCGCAACCTGAATCTACGCCAGCAGCCTACTGTCTAATGACGAAAAAGGATTTCTAATAACAAAGTGGCATACTTAATTGCGAAGAAAGGATGTTGGTTAGATGCGAAAGGTTGTATATATAGGGTTTTATATAAACAATACATAGTTTATGTCTTCCTTTTTTTTGGAAACGCTCGCTGCGCCGTCGCAGGCTTTTTCAGGGCATTGGCCACTACCAGCAAGAGAATGAAGAAGATCAGCGCACATGCTGAAGAGATGATGGAGGCCTTGAAGGACTTCGATGAGAAGATGGAGAAAGAAGTCCGAGATCTGTCCAAAGAGGAGGGCTGGACACTGGTGGATGCCTACATCGAGCGTGCATCTACGTCAGCTTTGAAGTCTGCCCTTGAAGTTTGCAACAGAAGGAGAGCTGGCAGAACCCCAGGCTGCGTGGCTGGGAATTCCTGATGAACAAGGCCGCTGTTTGGGCAGACCACTGGCATGCTGCAGAGATTGCCGGAAGTCAGAGCAATTGTGGTTGAGAGTGTGAAGATGTGTGGAAGGGAGACTATCTCGAAACCATCCGCAAAAATTGTGGAAAATTGGATATCATATAATGTTGGTAAAACAATAAAATATAACCATCCCCCAGTCATCACCATGTTTATAGGTGGTATGTTTACAATTCCCAGGCATGGGTGGTTTATGACATGTTTTTTTCCCACATTATATAATATCCATTACAACCTATTATTGCTGGTGAAACCTCTATTTTTTGTTGGTAAATACCACAACCATCAACTTATGGAGGTTATAATCCCATGGATATGATATAACCATATGTACATATATATATATACTGTACTGTAAAAAAAACCCTCTGGTAAACTGACATAGCTATTGAAAATGGCCATTTAGTTCGTGGTTTTCCCGTTAAAAATGGTGGATCTTTCTATAGCTATGTCAAATTACAAGAGGGTACTGTATATACATCTCAAACCATAAATATATATATATATGGGATAATCTTTCCCATTGACTAATATTTCTCAATATGGTTAAAACCACCAACCAGTTATATATTGTATATAATTATATGTATATATATATATATATATACATAAATGTAATGCATTCTGTTTTGTTGCTGTGAACTCCTCCATTTCCTGCGTCGGAGACCTCCCAGGCATGGCGCATAAGTTGGATGGAGCACATGGAACAGTCGGATCCCGCCCGTTCGGTTTTTGTTTTTCGTGTGGGGAAGCGGCGAAGAAAAGGGGCGTTCCTACAGAAAATTGGCCCAACTATTTTTAATGGGTAAATCAACTATTTAATAATGGTTAATAGTGGTTAATAGATGTTAATAGTGGTTAACAATGATAATTCATGGTGATCAATGGTGATTAATGGTGATATACCCTCTGGTAAACCAACATAACTATGAAAAAAACATAATTTTTAATGGGTAAATCCACTATAAATCACATTTTTTCAATAGCTAAGTTAAAATACCAGAGGGTAACAGTTATTTCAATGGAATGAATGATAGCTCCTAAAACTGAGGTTATATATCATGAAAACAGTTATTTCAATGGAATTATGGAATGACATAACTTCTATAACTGAGGTGAAATACATCATGAAATAAACCCACTTATGACTGTTAGTTGGGCCATAGCTGTGAGTAAGCCAAAACCCTGGGTGAATGGTGTATCAATGCGTTACATGTGTTTGTTTTGTGTTTTTTTGGTTGTATATAACCATGAATTATCGGAGGTTTTCACCGTTATAACTATGCGGATGTAACTCATAAATGATGGCTGATAGTTTATTAAAGGGTGTGGTACTACCTGGTATATATAGGGAATGATCGTTATCCGTTATGGGAATAGCGTTCTTCTGTTCTTAGCCAACCAGAAGGGACGACAGTTCGGCTTTTGAACACTGCTCACTTGATGTCGGATAAACTTGTTTGATGAATACAGAGTGTCCACTGGCGGATATCTGAGCTGCTGACAGGGCATCATTGTCCCAGAAGATTCGTTTCCGGGACAGAGACCCTGTGAATTGATTTCAGAGACACGTGATCTTCGGAATGAAGACACAGTTCAATACATTTCATCTTAGCTGTACCACCCTGAATTGATTCGCAACAGTCAGTGGTCTTCAACCCATAGGGAGCCCATAAGGAGCTGCGAAACCTGAAGACATTGATGGTGATTTGCGTTCCTGCATGTCTTTCACACGTTTTTTAGACCTACCAAAATAAGATCGAGCGGTTTTCCACACGAATTGAGATACAATTCACATCATTATTCTCCAGGTTCCGACTTTTCATCAACATGTTTGGGTTCCCAAAAAACAGAGTGGCATTGTTCCAAAATTTGCACCTCAATCACCCAGGCAGTCAACCCTGTCATTGCGCCATGCCGACGCTGCGCACACCACGGTTTCCCGTAACACCGCTGCTGCTTCTCTTGGTGGACTCCAAAAAAGTCGAGCATCTTGGTGGCAATCTCCTCATGGGAGACCGGGAGATCAAAGGAGAATATTGGTTTGTCATGGTTTGTCTGAAAATAGGGATACCCACAAATAGCCATTTCAATAGATTTTAATGAGGCACATGATGATAATCCATTGGAATTTGGGGGTACCCTATTCTGAGACAAACCCATATGGGTACAAGTCAAATTATAAGGTCTGGAACAAGGTCCGGGACCACACCCGTTCCATACCCCCGTTCCATATCCCCGTTCCATACCTGTTTGAAGGATCCGTTCCATACCTCTATTCCATACCTCTGATCCATACGTTTTGACACACATATGCATATGTATATACATATATATATATATATATACATGCATATGTATACATATATATATACACATATTTTTAGAGAGTGTGACGCCACCAGGTCCCCCAAAATACGTGGTTTTAAGTTTTAAGTGTTTTTTTTTGACTATTTTATGCTTTTTTTCCTCTTTTGATCATATATGAAAGATCAAAGTTATTGGGAGATGTACTGTTTTTGGTTTGTTAATCCTTAACTCTATTCTTGGTTGCTTGCTTTTTGTAGCTCTATTGTTTTTTTTTGATAGTGGTCTTAGAGCATGAATGGCAAAGTTCTTTGCCCAACAACATCTTGAAACATAGAGATTCATTGTGTCAGTTGGTACTTCATGTATATATTAATGTATAGGTACTTCCTAGGTATACAGCTATTGCAAAGACAGTATATATATACATATACATAGCACTTTGTATTTGCATTGGTGGTTTTTGATGTTGCACTGCCAGGTCGCCTTTTGGTTTACATCATAGTTCCAGTGGAACTCTTTTAGCAAATGAAAGTGCAAATTCCAATCTACTCTCCCTCCTCAAGTAGTTGCATTTTTTTGGCATACTTCATGGTAACTTGCTGCATCAATGCACAAGCAAGGCAGCCATTCTATAGATACAGTTGTTTGGTAAGGTTGCTTAAGTGTTCCCTTTACTTGGTCTTGTGCCCTTCTGGTTACCATGATGAACTTATACTGACATAGTTTAAGTCTTGCCCACAGCCATGAGTACATTTATGGTAATAAAACGTCTGCCGTTATATTTGCAGTGACACAGCAAATTACCATGGAATATGCAGGTAAAAAAAAACCCTTTTCTGAAGCAAGGGGGAAATGGAAGTGCCCCTGGAATTTGCTAACTCTTGTGATCAATCGATAGTTTAAGCAAAGATCTTTTACTGCATTGAAACCTGGAAGAATACCATTGCATATGCAGGAAAAATGTAGAACACTTGTGCCTGTAAGGGCATAGGTGACTTATATGCCACCCATTCCATAACTGTATGTACTATACAAGAAAAATGTATATATAGAATAATGGCATTCTAAGTGCAAATGCAGATTGGATGTGTTGATACAGCAAATGGCTATGGTATTTGCAAAAAAAATGCTTTTATCACAAAATACCCTCTAGATATCAGTGCATGTTCGAAGCTGCCATTTCTACTGTATATATACTGATACTGCACACTTGTGACAATGCGCTTGCATACTGGTTGAAACCATTCACCCACTAAAGCACAAACAACCCCTGAAACTTTTCATACAGTTTACAGATCAAAGAATTAAGAACAAGAGTGAGTATTGATCAAAAGGATGGAGAAGGGACCCCTTTCCATATGAATGCATTCTGGGAGCTGCTACTTCCTAGTCCCATGTGTTGTGTCATAGCTGTTTTCTGTCAAGTTTTATAAACAGTCTTACCTCTTTTTAGGTGTTACTCATCCTGACATAAAAGATCATAAAAGCACAGCCAAGCAATTATGGTAACAGGGTACCTGGATTAGATATGCAGTGGCATAGCAAATTACTCTGAAATATGCAGGAAAATATTTTTGGAGAAAGGGTAAGTTGGAATTGTCCTTGCCTTGTGCCAACTCTTATGAGCAAAGTCAGTTGCAACCAAAGAGTCTTTATTGCAATCAATCCTGGAAGAATTTCATTACATATGCAAAGTACATGTGGAAAATATGTGTACGTATTGGTATGTGCTACTTATGTACCATCCATATCGTAGATGCATACAGTAGTACTACCAAGAAAAATGCAAGTCCATCAATGTATATAGGAGGGCTATATATAGGAGGGCTAGGAGAGGGGAGAAGCTCGGAAAAAAAATGGCTCCTTTTCCTTGGCCACCTCTCCCCTAAGGTATACACACACTATGTTTGTTTTTCCTCCTTCCTTTTCCCTGGGGATCTTCCTGACTCTCTGGACATTCTTTGGCAACCTTTGGCAACCTGCCATCAGGGAGAGGCTATGTACATAGGAGGGCTAGGAGAGGGGAGAAGCCCCCCCCAAAAAAAAGTTTTTTTGCTTTCCTTGGCCACCTCTCCCCCTAAGGTAAGCCATATATATATATATATATACACACACACACTATGTTTTTTTCCTCCTTCCTTTTCCCTGGGAATCTTCATGACTCTCTGGACATTCTTTGGCAACCTCTGAGGATGTCTGACATTCTGTGTGGATCTCTAGCAATACCATCACAGGTATATGACCATGATCGAACATGATGTAGCAAAAACACTGCATTCCCAGAAAGGTGCAAAAATGGGGACCTCACAACGTCCTTTTCTGTATTTTTACATGTATATATATATCATTATTTGTATATATATTTATTTACAGGCTCATGCACATATATATATATAAATAAATACATGTATATATATATATACATACATGTAATATTTATATATATACATATGTATATATATATATATATCTATATATACATATATGTATAATATATATATATATATATTTATTTATATACACATAAATAAATGTATTTCTATATATTTGAACATTGCAATCTTATTCAGCATGCGTATGCACCTACATGAGCGCACATACATAAGTGCATACATGCAAGAATACGTTTACTATGCCCAAGCCCTGCAAGTCCGTGCTATACTTGCAGCTGCTACCTACTTTGTTGTGTGTTGGTAGGGATGTGCGTGGCTGCTGCCGCT